AATAGTTGGTCATTATTTGACTACTCAGTACTTTTTAAAAACTATATATATGTACAAATACATTGTTATAAAATGGATTACTTGCTCTCAGAAAAGAAGTGGACTCTATATGAATTTAAAAAATGTTGGCTTGTGGTCCCTACCCCCATTGTGAGTGTAAGTAAAACTATTTCCATTGCAAATTTGGATTGTGATGTTGAAAATGAATGTCAGTGTATATAAGACTAGTTGCCTTCCTTTCGTGTTTTGCATTCATTGGAAATTCATTAGCATTGTATCCTATTTTACAACATTGGAACGATATATTATCTTATATAGTTTACTCAAGTCTCAAATTATTCTATGTTTTTTTTTTTTTTATTTGTTGCTTGATAAGTAAACGTGTTTCTCACAAAATGCAAGCAAATGTCAATTCAAGCCGTGTACTATGCCTCCATGAGAGCCCTCTGTTTTACCCAAATATCCCATTGGATCCATAATAAGTGTATTCAATTTCAAAAAATGCATCACCCCACTCAATGCCTTCTGGTTTTCCTTTATTCGAAAGACACAAGTAACTGAGAAACACATAGGGCAATATGAAATAGTATAGTAGAAGATTTTCCACTTGTTTCAGTGTACAATGTTTTTACTCAAAATCCTGTTAAAGAAATTAATTTTGATTTCGTTTTCTTCAGAACATGTGACATTTCATTTCATTAGAAATTTTTTTATTTTTTTATTTTATTTTTTAATAGCATAGGCGCCATGCTGCAAGCAAGTGATGTGAATTGTGGGACAGCAATGGTCTGGAAGTTGCTTAGTGCAGGACAAGAGCCTGATTTTTATGTATTTTGAATTTTCAGGGACTTAATCATTACATGAGCAGATAACAAAAGGCCCAGTAGTTGCACTAGAAAGAGCATAAATTGTGTTGTTTTACCATTGCTTTTTCTTTGATTTTGGTAATTGGATTAGGCTATTGAATGCGAACTTTTCTTTGGTTTCAAGTTTTGGTAGTTCAATTATTCGCCTCTATGCATGTTTGGCAAGCAATGCTGGATAGATCCATACAATACAATGAACAAAATTTTAACTTCTCTATGCTCTTTACTACCGTGCATTAATGTCTAATATATCATACCAAACAATAAACATACCGTGTTGGTTAGGTTTGATGGGTTTTAAATAATCTCAGTTGTACATGCAGTTCTTTCTTTATCTGTGTGCGATGACTTTCAGACTAAAAGAAGAGCAGATGAACACCACCACCACGGAAATCCTTTGCAACTCTTGACTTGAAGTCAAGTCTATGAACTTGAGTAGATTTCTCTATTTATTTATTATCCTTTGCTTGTCCTTTTTAGTGTCTTCACGACTAAGATTGTTTACACCCAATATACTTTTATACAGAGGATGAGGCCGATTAAATATTTGTTCCAGAAGTGACATTTGTGTAGAGCCGACTGCAATCTTGGCTTATAACTCAATTTGAGTAATGTTATGTAACTCCACTGAATTGTAAACCCCATCTAGGTGACGCTAGATGATCTATTAAATGAAAGATGGAATCAAATAATCCATATAATTTCACTTATCATTTAATGTCACATTGGCGCCACTTAAATTGGAGTTGCAATTTCAGTGAGACTAAATAACATTATTCTATAAGTTTATATCGATTTATAGGGTTATGCCTGGAAAATGGATGTTTGATCTTTGAAAATAAAACTTGATTGTGAGCTAATGTAAGTTATTTGACTTCCAGCATGTTTACTTTAGTAGCGTTGCCTCTTATAGAATGCATTTGGAATCGCAATATTGAACTGTCCCTCAACCACCCTTTTCTTGTTAGGGATTATGATTGAATCCATTGCACCCTAATATGTAAATTGAAGGGTGAGTATGCTGCAAGATGTGCACTTTCATCTATGTCGAATTGGTGCACTCTGAGGTCATACATATAATGAGCAACTCAATTGAGTTCCAAGGGTGAACTATGAAGCTACATGGATAATTATGGATTGCCAACAAAATCATCTCACTCCATGGAAAGAACCAAGGGAATTGGATTTGAACGAGAGAGAATGGACTTGTTGAGGATAGGGGTGACAAACGGACGGAATTTCTTGAGGGCTTAGCTTGACCCATTAGCTCGTCTCAAAGTCAACTAGAATCATCCATGGGTCAAATTGGATTTATTTATTTATTTTATTAGGAGATAGCTCCTTTTTTTAGCTTATTTTATTATTTATTTAAAAAAAAAAAGAGTCGAGTCAGGGGTTCTTGGACAGTGTGGCTCCGCCCATGAGGAAAATGAGCTGGTTTCGTGTGTTTAATGATCGAGTCAGCTTGACTTGATTCATTACCACCCCTAAACGAGGACTACTTGAAAAGACATTGAAGTAACCCAAACCTTGTTTATGACTTTCGAATGGTCTCTTTGCCGTGAATATGTTTTTGCCGCTTGGACAGAACATGAATTTTTAGGTCCCTATAAGTCCCTCACTGCCCACCAAATTTTTGTTTCTTTCTGACGCACAAAGGCCCCTCATGTAATAGAAGGGTCTAGTCTATGTTCTTCGTACAAGATTACAGCAGTTGGTCTTCCTATACGTAGCCTCCTTTTGAAAAGAATCTATAATCCATTTAATTATAGAATAGAAAAAAATTAGTGATTAATAAGTTAATAAAACTTATGAATTCATTATAATGTGTCGTTGAAAATAAAATTTGACTATTTATAAATAATTTTTAATTTTGTCAAATATTAAGGTCTCGTTTGGAAGCGATCTTTTATATAAAAAATTGTTTTTTTTAACCGTTATTGTATTATTTCAGCAGTAATTTTTGACTTCTTCTTCCACAGGTGTCCCAACTTGTCTCCTAACGATCAAAAAATCAATTCTCAAAATCTCTACCGAACATACCCTAACTTATAACTTGTTTGCTCAGATAGGTAACTAAGGGTGCAGAATAAGCCGTGTCAGACCAACATTGACTTTGAGTGGACCAATTAGATATGTGCTCGTACAGCTAAGCCCGGCATGTCAATCCTACGAGTCTTTGTTCTAATTTTGTTTAAAAATAGTTTTTCGAGGATATTTTTGGTTCTTGATCCCTTTTTATTGTCTACTCCAATTTATTATTTGTACATCAAACGTTTTGGTAGAATTAGTCAATGGCAGTCTGTGGTAGGTGGAAGTGAGTCATCAAACATTAATAAGAAATAAACAAGCAGATTTGTCATTTATTAACCAACCATTAATAAACTCTCCTATTTTTCAGAGTTGAACAGTCTGCATTGCTTAGTGTAACACTTAAACACGCTTCTGCACATTTTGTGACACCTGCTTCTTACTTGTCAACAGTTTCTTCTATGCAAATGGATAACTTGAATTACCTTATTTCTTCATCAACGTGTGTTTACACTATATTTAATACCTTGTTCCTACACGTACGCATGTCAGTGTGTATGCGCGTCCTGTACAAACTAGTTATAAAGACTACCTCTTTTAATAAAAATGAATTAAACTTGCATGTGAATAAAATTTAGTGTGCATTTAATTACGAGCATCAAATTTGTATGAAAAGGAAATAAATTTTAAGTAATTGAATTGTCTATAACTTATTTGTATAAAAACTATTAACTAAATGTGTTCGATTGATTTAGTTTTTAACATAGAAAACATTATTAATATTCATTTTTTAGTGGGTAGATGAGTGAGAAAATAGAGTGAATAACTTGGAAAATGAAGCCACCCTTCTTAAAGAAGATATCTTTCTTATTTTTTGAGAAAAATATTGTCGGAATACTATTTTTCATGGAATAAATTGTCAGTCAAACACTTGAAAAGTAGAAAATTGAGTGAACAAATCACGTTTTTCATGAATAATAAAGCTAATCAAACACGCTCTTAAAGAAAATAAATTTAAATAAATATATATATTCTACGTCTCAAAAGTGTTTCAACGTTAAAGTCATTCAAATATTTGGGAAGGTAGACTTTAAACTTTATCAAAATTCAAGCACCAATATTTCTAGATGAATGCATATAATTCAATTTAAGTTTTACCATATTTCATACTTTTCCATCAAAAGTAAATTCAGACATGAACTGATTCGATGCTAAGCCAATCAAATTAGAAAAAGGCAGACAGTAAACTTTATTAGAATCTTGAACCGACTCTATGTTCATATTCTTTATCCTTTCGGTTCGCATGCGTGCTCGTTACTAATTACCACGTTTCAATTACTCACAAACCCATGTAAGATTCAATGTATATGGAACCACCAGAGTACATCTCATGCTATTTGGAAAAAAATGAAGATGAAAAGTGGGACAATTCATTTGTTAAAGTCAATTATTTTCTGTTCCACGTGCATACATAGAAGCTTGTCCATTTATTACCCTCCCACCATGTTCATGTCTCTGTTTACCAGAAATGGGTATTCTAACTTCACAGACAAAGAAGTGGACTGGGGGAGAAACCCTGAAGGTTATAGAGTTGATAGTGGAAGCTACTAAAAATGGTCTTGTTATAAATGCACATTCCCGTAACACCAAAATACAAAGATTAAAGGACAAATTAGAGTAATTACATGAAGAAGCCAAGGGAACAATTTATTAGTACCAATCACTGATAAATTTGGAATCGTCCCGTTCATAGTTAGATCTTACAATATATTATGTTAGTTTTAGCCAATATATGTACCCCTCCTTGTAAATTGTTGTCTGAATCATGTCATTCTATAAACCTCTTTAGCTATGTGGAAATATGTCTCGACCATTTAAATTGTCAATCCTTAGTTCATCTTCAAAATGTGTTGTCTTTGTTTCATTTTATCCTCGAAAAGTATGGTAGAATTGGCCTATGCTAAGATGAAGAATGCAAGCAAAAAATTTAGAACCCTAAATTAAGCCCCATTGCCTAAGATGATCATCATTAGAGACAACATTGTAATTTCAAACAAAGTAGGTATATGTCTTGATGATAATAAAACTAACACCTCCAAAAGATGTCATATTAGGGTTTGTAATTATGTATATACGATACTGCTTTCTTTTGGACAAAAAAGGGTAAAACAAGAGACAGCGATTAAGAGAATCAGATTCCAATAATGGATGCTTCATTTCATCTACAATGTCTAGTAATAAGTCAAGTCAGGAAAAAAAAGTGATTATTTCACTCTTCCTTTCTCACAGTGGAGGGCACAATATCTTGAAGAAGCCCATAATCTGTTATCAAAGCAGAAGGTGGAGTGCAAAAGCGCTTCTGATTCGCAATTGCAGCACAGTTAATATTCGTAGAACCCATAAAACCAAAATTCAATGGTGTAGAATAGTTGCAATAGACTTGATCAGCTCCAACGGATGATAAACTCATTTGCAGCGGCGACGGCATAAAGGTGGCAGTGGATGCGCCGGTGGAGAATCCCGAGCACGGTATCAGTGCAGCAGCAGTGTTTGCTCGAGACATCAGCGGGCTTGGATGAGTGTGTTGGCCTTCATATGTAGTCATAACTATGGTTGGATCATTCAAAGACCGCTCTATTCTTTTCTTCACACTACATGAAGCATTAGTGCACCTATAGTAGCTCCTGATGATTTAAACCATAAAAAAGTAGAGAAATTGAACATAAGAACTTGATCGTAATAAACAATAAAACAAAGTTCTAACGTACCTGTGAAAAACTAAACTGGGGTACTTCAGCAGATGAATAATTATTATGGTACATAAAGATGTGGGACTAATTAGTGCCTTTAATTTCTGAGTTTAAACTTTACCTAGGGAAAGGACTGTTTTTTACAGCTTTTTGGCCGTACTTTCTCCATCTGTAGCCATCTTCCAGATGATCAACTTCGCTCTTTGTCATGAAAGCAAATCTTGGCTCTCTCTGCCTCTTCTGACTCGTTTTATTGGGTTTCAACCTGTTCTCATGAGCGTGAAATAGCAAATAAGTAATAATTTTACTGACTTCTACAGGTCAACGTCATATATATATTCAAAACACCCCACGTCTTTTTGATCTGTCCATAAATAGATCATAAAAATAGATAGACCGATGACTTACTGTTTCTTTATCTTCTGCTTCTGTTCTTCTTCTTCTTCATCATCTTCTTCGTCTACAACTTCTTTAGCTTGTTCATCATTTTGTCCACCACCACCACTAGATTCTGAAGAAATAGAGGAAAAATTCGGTGTTGCAGGTGTATTCAATACCTCTGATGATTCTTGATCAACTGTACTAGTCTGATTCTGATTTGGGATTACTTGTAACATATCAAGAACTGAAGGGCCATAATCCTGAACCCCTAGCAACTCCATGAACCCTAATGACCCATTTTCACCATCAATTGTGAAATCCTCCAAACCCGTGAGTGAATAATTACCACTCACCAGGTAACGATCCGAAAATAATGAAGACGGGTTCGGATCCTCCATCTTTACACTCCTTTTACCCTCCATCGATCTATATGTATATGAAGAATGCCAAAACTTTCATGAAATAAAGTGACCTCTCCCTTTATCTTGTGTCTTTTAGAGAGAGAAGCTCAAGGGAAAAAAGGGTTTTGGAGAGAGAGAGAGAGAGAGATTTGGAGAGAGGGAGAGAGAGGGAGTGGGTATGTGAGTGTGTGAAAATGCGAGGAGAAAGTGCAAATTGCAAATAATAAAGTTTCGTTTTGGGGCAGACGTTTTTTCCTTTTCTTTTTTTTTTTTTCCTGTGGATTCTTGGGCAGAAAGCTTGACTGGATATCGCCGGTCAGGGTTGTCCGGAACTTAAGAAAACAGCGGGTTAGTTGCCATGGGAATCAACGCATTCATATTTCATACATTAGTTTTGACCGGTAACCGGTTTTAGTGTGAACACGATGGGCAGGCATGTAACCCGGAGGTTTCGGCTTCTCTTTATTAATTTTTTTCCCGTGCATGTGAAGTGTATCCTTCAAAAGATATTCCCTTTTGCTTTATTTTAATTTTTGGATAATATTTTAAAAATCGATCCAAGTAATGCATTGAGATAAAAGATTAAATTCCCTTTGTACAAATTAAACTTTAGATCTTAATCTAAATTAAAGTCAACAATCAATTTTAATTACATATTTTATGGGTTTCATTACTTTTTAATAACATATTTTATCATCTTCTATCAAAATTTACCAAAATTCTGATTTTATTCCCCACCAAACAGGGGCTAAGAGTTGGATAATCGAATTATGGTTAGTTAGATAGTAAAAAAAATTTATTAAATAGATAAAAACATAAACTTTTGGCATAAACTGATGAATTTTGTAACGAAGATTATAATCGCGGACTTGTCACTTTTGAAGCAAATCAGTATGTTCTTTGATAATTTTAATGGGTCTTAAATTTTGTATTTTTATCTATACGTAGATAAAATTATGATTTTTCAATTGAACGGATCGATTCAATTCTGTATTGATAATAGTACTACTATATAATACTATGATAAATATTTTAAGATTTAGCCCCCGTTTGATTCTTATTATTTGGCCACAAAAATGAAAAATATGATCGTTATTCATCACATCAAGTCATTATATTTGACTTTCTATTTTTTGTGTAGATCCCGTAACAACTATATTTTTCATTCTCATTTTTAAAAAAATGGCTATCAATCGAGGCCTTTAATATGCATACAGGTCTCTCAACAATTGATTGTGAATGTTCTGTTCTTACCAAATAGTTCGCTCTATAATTATTTGGTTGATTTTATGGATTACTGATTAAGGAAAAAATACATTTTCTAATATGAAAGACAGAATGTATTGTTTTAAATCATTGTGAAGTTTTAAATTGCTCTAAAATATTTTAAAAACACATTGTATCATACAAAGCAAACAAATCACATGTAACCCTTTTGCAAGCCCTAATCAGATACAGTGGGATCAAATTACGTTTTAAGAAAGAAATTTCGAAAGAGACCGTTTTATATTACTAATATATTTTATAAGAGAGTTTCGATACATCCAAGTATTGACATCAAATAGATCCAAATCAAGAAATTATTAGTAGAAGAAGCTATGAATGCATTTCTTGATAATGAAATTTATGGATAGACAATGAGAGGCGATCATAATTAAATTTAAATGTAGCTTCTGTTAAGTTTTCTTAAAAATGGGATTTTTAGTTAATTTTGATAGATATTGATGAAATATGTGGTGAAAAAAGTCGATAAAAATTATAAATTTCATTGCATTTTGAGCTTGACGGGGACATAAATATAGCTAATAATTAATATAAATGCTTAGAGACGAAATAAGTAATCGAGTGTGAAGGGTGAGATATTTATTTTATTGTAATCAAAATCCTACCTAAAGATTGCAGCCATTGTGTTCTAATAATGAATTATTACTAATTAAGCCACGTTTTATCTTTAATTTCGTGGAGCAGATTGGGCCACAATACACGGCCCCGGTCGCCATCAGCCCGTAAATCAATGGGTTACCGTTGGGGATAGGCACATGTGTTGGGCCCATTGGTTGGCCCCACCTGTTACATCCAATGGCTGTAAATTATCTGATGACGGCACAACCACGTGGCCGTTGATTACGCGTCCTCTGAATATACTGGTGGATCTTGCTTGCTTGCAATTTACGCTTCTCATTTATCTCTAAATATTAGGGTCCGTTTGATTGCAACAATAGAATTTGGATAAAAAGAAAACAAATTTCGGGAATTTGAATTTTCTAAAATTTATTTTCTTGGAAATTGTCAACTAAAATGTGTTTGATTGGTATAATTTTTCACCTGAAAAATGTTGGAATTTTGGATCTTTTTTCTATTTGTTTGGCTTTATTTTTCATGAAAATTGTCAATTAAAGGAATCTAATTTTTCACAATTGTATTGTTCCCATTATTGAATATTAAAAAAATTAAAAATAAATAAAGCTGGAAAATTAATTTTGGTGAGAATTGGTTTTCCACCAATTCATTTGAAATGCACATGTGTAGGGGAAAAGGTGGAAATGGAATTTCCTAGAAAATGCTGCAATCAAACAAGCTATTTTGGTGGAAAATATTTTCCATTTTTCATTAAAAATGTGGCCAATCAAACAGGCCCTCAATGTGCAATTTGTTTATTCCCATTTTATTGTAATGAAATATTTGTACCATGGACCCTAACCTAGTGTGCAAATAGCAATTTGATCCTTGGCATTTTATTATAGTTTTACAAGTGGTAATCGGTAATGAATATTGTCCAAAATCGTGTTAAACTGTCACATGATTTTCGCACATCTAAGAACATCTTCAATAGATTGTTTATGAAAGTATCTTACATATGAGATAACATCTTTAAATTTAAAGGATAATATTTTATACATTGTAGCAATGTTCTCTATCTTGACTCTTCAGTCTTCATTGATCTTTCCACTTATTTCAAGTATTATTTATTGATTTATCCTCATAATTTATTTAACAAATTTTATATTTGTCAATAATCAATCAATTCAAATATAATTTAAATAATTTAAGTAGTATACTAAAATATGTAACTTATTAATACAATCATTATAAAATAAGAATAGAGTGTAAGAGTTTAAAAATAGACAACACCTGAGCGTCTTTTTTTTTTTTTAAATGATTATGGGTGTTTGGGCTAACTTATGCGCACTTCGATTAATTTCACGGAGTCCTGAAATTTACAGTTAGGTACTCACCTCAATGGTTCTAAGGGGATTCGAACTGGTGACCATTGGAAAGCAAACACAAGGCCTAACCACAACATCTGAGCTTATTTTTAAACATAAACTCTCTAAAATAGAAAATTTATTGTATTTAAAAAGTCTTATTGAAAATGTTCTAACTTTATATAGCAAAAGGTCAGAATCTAACAGTTTTACGTCTAACATGTTTTTATGATATTAGTGTGGCAAATTATGAAAATTTTGTTTGGATATACGGAAAAATATATAGAGTGAAAAAAATATATTTCCACGGTCCAAGATGTATTATTTTTACAAGTCCATACATATATTGTTAACCCTGAATCTGACAAAGGCCCATGTAAGCACATGAGTAACAACAAAGGCAACATGACATTTTTGTAGAATGACGTGTCAAATTCACACGTCCACACGCCACGATAGGTGAAGGTCTAATGCATGTGCCTTTGCCCTCGCCATTATTATCTTCCCTCTAGTCTTCGCACATGTTGCTAAACGAACGAACTCTTTTCGATTGAGTGCCTTTGGCTAAGCATGCTTTCGCATTTATCCTCTAGTTACCAAGGAAATCTTTAATAAGGAAAACTATCTTATCTAGTCCTAGAAATCGACACAAAATTCTTGGAGATCAAGAAGAGTGATCAGCCTATGCAAGTAAGAATACTTCGTGAAAGAGACATACCATAACAAAACGACGGCTCATGCGAACCAATGATGACACAACACGTGGATTAGGGCCATAAGCCTAATGTTTTGCTTTAAAAGAATCATCCTTCCATAAATACAAACACACGGGTAAAGGTAAAATGTACTTTTATTTCTTCTCAAAATTTTGCCAAAGTATGTATGTATATATATATATATATATATATATTGTTTAGACAGTTGACTTGATAGTTAAAGTATCAATGATCGCTGGTCCCTTTTCTTGGTTACTATTGTCCAAATATGTAGATAATTTACATGTTGACAAGAACGAGATGGAGATTTATAAACAACAACGTCATAACGATTTTGGAGGTGAAATTATATATTGCACAAGAAAATTGTACGAGGATCTAACAAACTAATTATAAAAATATGTGTAGTGCACATAGATTATGTACCCCACCAATCTCTCGGGCAAGGAAAGTATTATCTAGGATCGATTGATATTTCACCCTTAACCACAGCTCATTCGCTGATTTTTCAACATTAGTCGATTTGGATCTCCACTTAGTTTCACCCATGCTTCATCTCGATCATGGATAGATGACCCAAGTTCGGGCCCATAAGTAGTGACAATTGCCCTATGAAGACATGCTTTTGCTACGGTTCCAGTAAGTTCCCTTAACCAAGCCAATACCTATAAGTCGTTGGCTCATTCTTCAGCAGACACAATATTATTATTTATTGGATAATGTAATAGTGACTTCATTGTCACATAGATTGTTAATAAGCACGAGTAAGAGTGAAAAATATTACTCAAAATACACATTTAACTAATTGAGCAACTGGTAACATGTTTTCTACTTAGCAAGTCTGCATATTTGGATTGCACCGTCATGCTGATTGATCATCCCTGCGAAGACACTCTTGTTTAACAAAGTTTGAATTTGCAAATGATTATAATATTAAATGTAGAACTTATTTGCTCATTTATAAAGATTGATGACCATTTTGCTATTTAGGTGATTGGTTGAAAACCAATGCTACAGTTTTCCCTGTTGTATTCCACTTTTTCTCTTCCCCCTTCTTTCATATTCTGCAGTTAGTGGACACCAATTAGTTTAAGGATTTAAATATAAGAAATATTTAAATAATTTAATGAAGGTATTTGACTGTTTGACCATACTGCTTCTAGGATACGTTTGTTTAAGTAGTAGAAAAGAGACGAAAATCAAAATTAAAGTTGTTTTGTCCTGTAGTACAAAGTCGCCATCTATAGCCCTGAGTTAGAAGGCATAATTTGTTTTATTATTTTGTTAGATTGTTATG